CCCTTACAGTCTCATCCACTACTGCTACTGCCATTGTAGACCATGCATAATGCGGAGTCTACAAGTCGTAGCGATCGTAAGGGCTTAAGTAGAAAATTGACCAATCACGGTTGATTATTCTTCTCATATTCGACTGTGATTGGTCAATTTTCTACGATTTAAGACCTACGACTGCTACGACTTCTATTGTAGACCCCGCATAAGGGCCACCAATCGCGATTGGTCAATTCCGATGGACTAACTGGCCAATTAACTGAACTTGGTGACAGTGGCTTAGTTTCCACCGAGGGTTCGATCCGGGTCAGAATGCAAGAACCAACCAACTACAGTCGAGCATTCCCCTGTTACAGTCGAATTACAGAGGAATGCTCGACTGTAGTTGGTTGGTTCTTGCATTCTGACCCGGTTTGAACCTTCGGTGGAAACTAGAGTACTGGCCCTTAACCAGATAATGAAAAACCGGGCCTAAGGGCGCGTTCATATCTTGATGGAAAAGCAGCAGCCAATCAGAATTCACGCTGGTAGTCGACAATTTCGGCTTTTTGTACTACTTACTACCAGCGCGAGTTGTGATTGGCCACTGTTTTTCCGTTAAGGTGTAAACTCGGAATAGCGTAACGAACTTCCTAAATCATGGCCTCGCACGTCCAAAAGTCCAAACACGAAAAAGAAATTCCCTAGCCAGTTTGACAGCTTCTGCTTTCAATTTTTGCCGATTTCCCCGTAGGCCCGTATTCGTCCTCGCCGTGTATGTGTTGATCGAGTTGTCAGATGATAAAGTAAATTTTCTCCTCGATCCAACGAAATATGTAATACAAGAAAGGAAAACTCGAAAGAGACAGAAATTTGAAGGAAGATAAAATAGTCGATCAAAAGTAACATGTAATTTTTCAAGGAAAGTGGAAAGACGAGGTAAACTTCAAGAGGTTGACAGGCGAACACGTTGAGAAGCGAAGATCAATGTTTCTCTCGTCCAGGCGATGATCGCGTAATAAACCGGGCCATGGAAGACAGTAGCAAGGAACGCCGGGTCCTGCAGCACTATGTTGCCAAGCAAGACACGGTATTGATACGGATATTCGGTGCGTGCGACGTAAACGTTAACGAGTTACGTCTAGGAATGCTTGTAGAAGCACTGGAGGATTTGAGGGAGAGCGTGTTGAGGATACGCGTGACCGACACCGTCGGCGGATCTAAGACCTGGTGCGGCACGGAATGGCGTTGCCACAAGTACGACCTGATCCCCGTGTCGCAGAAGGTCTGGCAGTACCTGCTCGCTGTTCAGTCTCTTCAGGAGAGAATCCGACTGGCGAACGACGAGGCTCTGTGCGAGCAGATAAGAAATATATCTGTGAACGACGTAGCCTGGTACTGCTCCGATCCCGCTAACAGACGTGCTAGAGAATTGGCGTTTGTCAGATACATCGGACCCGTGTCGCAGCTCGGATTGGGACATTACTTTGGCCTTGAACTAGTGGTGAATTAACTAAAGCCGCTTTTAGTTGCTGCTGCTTTTGTTTAAATTCTCAGTTTTATAATGTAAAATAGAGTAACATAAGGTCTGTTTTCTGTGGCTGAACTAATGTACTCTTTTGGAACTTAAAATGAGATAAATGTATGTTTGATATTTATTGAAAGCGAGAAAGAGAGTTCTAGTGCAGTCTAGTACAGGAACAAAAAACAGACCAATAATATATCATATACAAGAAATAGATAAAATAACTGTAAACATCTGAGGAATATATATTACTTGTTTTATTAATAAGAAGTTGGTCTATCATTTGTCTTTAGTACAGATTCTATCATTGTTGGAATAATCATGCTTGAAGAATATAGCAACAGTTGTGATGCAATGTTATTCTTCTATCAAAACATCTTTTAATTACTTAAAAGATATTGGAAGAGAAAATCTGTTTTTTACTCTATTCTTTAAAACTACAAAAAATTCAATTATATTTAAATCACAGGCTATTATTACAGGAAAGATGGAGAGAACAGTGAATAATTTTGGAAAATGAAGTAAATTTTTTTCTCAAATATTATTTATATAAACAATTAAAAGATTTATTAAAAGATAATATATTATATTGATGACTATTTGAAAATTGTATGATTCTATTCCAATAAGGATAGAATGTGTGAATAAGGCAAATCATAGGTCAACTCTCTTATTAATAATAAAATAAATAACGTATTTCTCAGGTATTCATATTATTTTGTCTATCTCCTGTATATAAAGTCATAGCTCTTTCTTGTACCTATATTTATTACATATATAAAAAGAGACAAATAAAATTTTAATGAACTAAATTCCAAAATAAGTCAGCAAATAACATAGTTTTACTTTTGGATTAATTTTAAATAAATCTTATTTAAGAATATATTAAATTTTATTATAAAAATATTTAATTTGAAAAATGAAAAGCTTGTTCAAAAAATATAAAATTATATCTTTTAATCTTTATCGAAAGACTGGTTACAGGATATATCCTAATAAAAAGGAAGTATTTGACTCTTTAAGATAAATTTATAATATAATAAACAATAAGTGAACATATGTGCATCAATATAGAATGCAATTAACAATAATTATGTGTATATATATATATATTACAGGAAAGTCAGGAACTGTCCAAAACATCCTTATTGACTAAAGAATATTTTATTCCCACACATTGGAATGCTGCTACAATATTCGCTACTATAAATAATATATTACCTTATAAAGAAACTGACTCCATTTCTGGCAGCATTGAAAAAAGTATCCATTAATCATAATTCACTAATTAATCATTTATTAATCAATGTTTCTACGTTAATTTTATAATCATGCAATTTGAATATTTTTATTTCAGTATTGCTCTTGAAAAATAATACAGGAACTGACTATAATAACGATAAGAAAAGATCTGTGCTTGACAGTACACCAGCTGTTTTATTAGAACAGTTTACTCTATTTGATGACAACAAGAATAACAATCAAGAATCTGTCAATATACTAAAAGAACGCCATCAAACCGGGAAGTCAGATCTTGAAAATGATATTAATAACTATACTCAAACCGTCGATCATACTCTTTTTAAATGTGGTAATTTTACAATCGTAAAAGCAACAAATATTTATTAAATATGTACTTATTCTATCGATACTTTTCCCTAAGAATCCCAAAACTAAATTAGCCCCAATGTTGGACTTTAGTTTCCTTCGTGCGATAGAGGGAGTTAATAATAGCTCAGGTATTTTAAAAATAGATGCACAAAACCTAGCCCAACTTCCTAGAGGGCTGCTGCCAGGTTATAAAGCGCTTTAAAACTATTGTATTTTGGTTTAACAATGGCAGCAGAACTGCAGAACATTCCTATTTTTGTATTGGAGCACAAATGGAGTAGTGATATAGAATCAAATGTATACAGTGATGTGGAAGATATGCGTGGAATAATGTTGGATTACAGTAAGATACAGTTGACATGCTACCTCTACTGCACTTTTAACTCAAATACGTTTATTCTTCCGCGATAATATTTATACTTTTACATCAGAAAAGTGATTATTCTTTACACATTGCCTTTAAACGTTACATATTTGAATAATACGACAATCAATTACAACTAGCTGTTAATTGCAATAGGTAATGGTGAGAAAAACGAAACCAAGAAATTCAACAGAGTAGAGAATAAAGAAGATTTGATAGTGGGTTCTAATGTGAAAGTACTTCTGGATTCAGATGTCCATTACGGAATTATTCGATGGATCGGCTCACCGCCTGGTACAAGTCCTGGCAAATTGATGGCAGCTGTCGAGCTGGTAAGTAAAATGAGTGTATTAAATAGACCGCTTTACATTTTATAAAAGAATAATAGAACAGAAGAACATTGTGTTTTATTCATAGGATAATGGACATCCTTTAGGTACTGATGGAACTTACAAAGACGTCAGATATTTTCATTGTAGGCCTTATAAAGCTGTATTCACAGACATTGAACACTGTTCTCTTTACGAAAGTGTTAGTAGAATGATTTATTATTTTCTCAATATTAATTTACGTCATGTTTGTTAATTATGAAAATAAGTGAATTATGGAAACATTTGTCATAAACAGACGAAGCTCAACGAACGGCCTGCACTTATAAATAACGATAATTTCGGTAATATGGAGAGTTCTGTAATAACGGGTATAGTACGGCCTATCTCTGTCAAAGGAGACTTGGAGAGTATATGTGGGAAGTATCGTGGTATTCAAGGCCATCACAATTCGTGCTATTTGGACGCTACTCTTTTCAGCATGTTTACATTTACTAGCGTATTTGACAATCTTCTGTTTCGGTAATTAATTTTGTTTCGATGTAATTGAATATATATTTACTGATTAAAAAGATTTATTTCTTTTCGAAAGGAAACGTGAATTAATTTTGTTACATGAATATAATATAGTAAGTGTAGTGTTCTTATAAAAGTTTTTATGTAATGACTTTTTAGTCCACCGAATGAAAAAGATTGTCCACAATATGAAGAAGTGCAAAGGGTCTTGAGAGAGGAGATTGTAAACCCTTTGAGAAAAAATATGTTTGTCAGAGCGGATCGTGTAATGAAACTCAGGACGTTGCTTGAAAAACTATCATCAGTATCCGGTCTCACTAGCGAAGAAAAAGGTCTGCTTTTATATTTCGAAATATAATATTATGGGTTCTAATGTGTGTTCTACTAATGACTCTTAATATATTTTTTATATTTAGATCCGGAGGAGTTCTTAACGTCGCTAGTCGCCCAGATTTTGAATGCTGAACCATTCCTCAAATTAAGTTCCGGACAGGACGCCTACCATTACCAATTGTTTGTCGAAAAGGACGACCATTTAAATCTACCGACTGTGCAACAATTATTGGAGCAGAGTTTTCTAACTAGTAACATCAGGTTGAAAGAAGTTCCTTCCTGTCTCATCATACAAATGCCGCGCTTTGGAAAGTCATTTAAAATGTATCAGAAAATACAGCCTACGTTACTGCTTGATGTGACAGACATTATCGAAGACTGTTAAGTATCGTTATATTGTACATCGAGTTGCGGTAATCGTTTTCATTTTAAACAATTCGCAGTAACGTTTACATGTCGTTTTGCAGCACCCAGACAATGCACAGTGTGTGGCAAATTGGCGGAATTCGAGTGCAAGGAGTGTTATGGACAATGCGGCGTCGGCCTCGAAAGTATAGCTTTCTGTTTACAGTGCCTTGAAAAAGTTCGTAAAGCATGAGATTGATATATAAACATAAGATATTGAAAAATAAATTATTTTGTGTATTTTCTTTAGGTACACCGTCATGAACGAAGAACAAATCACGAACCAAAGAAGTTAAATGTACCTATGGAGTTTACAATTCTACAAGAACATTGTCCCGTACCGCGTCTATATTTGGAGTTATCCGCGGTGGTCTGCATCGAAACTTCGCACTATGTTTCATTTGTAAAATGCGGTCCTGGCTCGGAGGCTCCGTGGTGCTTTTTCGATTCCATGGCCGATAGAAAAGGTATATTTCTCACTCATATTTATATAAATACCAATATAAAATATAATTCCTTTTGTATATTTTTTTATATCTTTTATCGATCAAATTATTTTATTGTTGAGAATCTTTTAAATATTGAATTATTAAAATAATTGTATTAATGATTTTTTTATTTAAATGTAAAGTCTTTTATTGTTATTAGGAGAGCAAAATGGATATAATATACCGGAGATGGTGCCATGTCCAGATTTTCCTTACTGGTTGAGTGAAGAAGGAGGAACTTACTTAACTGAATTAAAAGACGATCGCCATTTGCCAGAACACGCGAAACGTCTACTTTGCGATGCATACATGTGCATGTATCAATCCCCAGATGTTATGATGTACAAATAACTTGAAAAACAACTCATATTTTAATAGTCGACAGGAGAGACTATGGAAATCTCTATCAAAAACGAATTTCTATTCAACCATATCATAGCTAAAATAAAAGAAAGAATCGCTCTGTGATTGCGATATTCTTAATCAGGAAAATCATCTGCAATCTGCTACAAAGCGACTTTTGGAAAAAAGGCAAAATAAAAAGTTGTTTTGATATCTGACTCGATCTAACGAGAAGATCAGTTCAATCTTTCTCATAGAGAAATTAATAGTTAGTTAATTAATAATTAGTTAAGAAGATAGGTCAATAATGAGCATAAAAATACAAACACCACAAGTAATTTATTAAGAAGATAAACATATTAACGAAAAGTTTGAAATATATTAACGAAAAGTTTTTATTATAATATTTTGAGGATCAAGTTGCAAAATTCGACTCAATCCGTAACAGAAATTTTATAGTTTCGTAAAACATAAGCCAAAAAATTTCGTGGCAAAATGTTACTTCTATGAGACAAGATATGGTTGAGCATGTTTATATCTACATTGCGATAAGAAGCAAATAATCTCATTTAATATAATATTTTTAAGAACAAAATTGTAAAATATTTTTTCTTAGAAACAAAATATGGTACTGTAAATAAAATGCAACTAATAAATTCGGAATTGACCTCCTGTCACTCCTGTCGATTCTTAAGTAATGTTGATTCTAGCATTACTATAAAAGTGCAATCTCTTGCTTTTAGCTTTCTGCAACGATATAATAAATTTACATAAATCTATTTAGATCTTAGACTGAGACAATCCCGAAGTCTCAAAATTTATGTACAAAATAGGAATACTTAAATAGGAATAATACGTTTGTATGCAAGCAGAATATACAGTTAAAAAAAAATAAAATTGACATTATTTATTTACTGAAGATGCATCTGTCAGATTTGCATCACAAAGGAACTGATATACTCCTTAATAAATTTTTTAAAATGTTTTATTTAGTAACACTCCATTTCTTTTTAACTGGAATTTGCATATGTAACTTACAATTAGTTGGAAAAAGACTTCTAGTCATGTCATAATACTCATAATATTTACAATGATAATATTGTCGAAACAGGAATATACTTTTGTACATAATACAGTTATAAAAAAAATTGACAATATACATTATTTATTTGAGGATTTCAGATGCATCTATCAAGTTTGTATCTCTCCGATGAAAAATTTTTTAATTTTTATACAAATTTGAACACTTTAGAAATATTGAAAAAGTCTAACTATATCTTTTTTTTACCTTTCCTTAAAATTTTTCATTTATGTAAATTCAGAAATATTCTAAGATTTTTCATTCTATAATTTCTGAAAAAATATTTTTAATTCTTTTAGATTTTATAAGATTCCATCACAGAAATTATAAAATAAAAAATTTTATATTTCATAATTTTAACATATATAAAGAATTCTAGAAAAGTTGTGAATTTTTTCGACACTTCTGTAAAATATTCCAACTTATGAATTTGTAAAAGAGACTGACAAACTTTCTATAAAGTTATAAAATTATTCAGAAGTTCTGAAAAATTTTCACCAGGGAAAATACCTTTTAATGTAATCTTTAACATGTCCTAAATGTCCGAAAATTCTGTGTACCAGGTGAACAAACTCAGAATCAGCTGCTCAATCAAGTCAGATTAGGTTATAATACAGCACGCGTGCATCGTTTTCAGATCGAAAGTTTACTTTGAATTAATTCAGACTTTAACTGATAATGCTAGCGAGGCAACTGGCATTCACACGCGGTAAACAACTGTGCAAGTATTCACGCTTCCCGGATGACGTACTCGCTCAGGTAGCACGTAGTTACAGCGTGGAGCATGAGAAACGACTGCACGAATGGCGAGAGAATGAGTTGAATTCGGTGATACCCCGACCCGAAGATGACCCGGAGAAGCCCAAGAAGTTCTTCTGGTTTCCCACGGGCGCTCTCAAAGAAACCGACTTCTCCTTCGGTAATATCTCAAAGTGGTTCAAGCACAATAAGGCTGAATATGTCAAATTCAATCAGTCGTTCAATCCGATGAGGCACGAGATATTAGGCGCCGATCTAGCCACCGCTCATTTCCTCGTCCATCGCGGCGGCCTGGTCAGATTCAAGGGCAACACTTGCTGGATGGAACGGAACAAGGAGGGCTTATACGAATTACCCTGCAGTTACGATCCAAGCTACATCCTTGAGGCGGTGGACGTCAATGGGTTTGATCTGCATTACGAAGGCCTAAGTAACTTATGCGGCCTCAGGAAGCTCAAGTGGCTCAGTCTCAAGGACTGTAAAAACATCGACGATTGGGGCTTGGACAAGATCTCGGCTGAGTTCCCTGAACTGGAATATCTGGACATCTCCGGCTGCAAGAAGATCACTGAAAGAGGCCTGGAATCTCTGTACAGAATGATGAATTTGAAGGAACTGATTGTAACGAATTGTAATAAGTCTGTCGCTTTTGAACTAGCTTGCTTCATGTTGGAGGATTGCACACCAGGATTGACTTGTGAAATTCTTATGGGAAAAAATCAAGATTAATGCCGAATAAAAGATTTGAATCATAATATAGCTTGTAACTGTAAGAAAAGATCTTTATCTTTATTTATACAGTATTTAATTATTTTTTGCATAATCTTAAGGAGCTATAAATTATAGCGAATTCAGTCTCATGGATTACACTAAATTGTTGCATACTAAAAGCTGCTGTACATGAAATTATAGCAAAGTTAGATATAAAGATTTATAAATATTTTGGACAATTAAATATCGTCACATTATTTAGTGAAATTTACATGTATCATTTCATTGTTAAAACTGATTAGATTATACCACTATATTTAGATTACTTACATTATTGTTTCTTAAATTACCAAAAAGTATTTACCCACTTTGTCTTCTTTAATTAAATAAAGAGTGAATACATTTCAATCTTATTTCCTAATTTTCTAGATGTTAGATTTAATAACAATGTTTGATGGTTCAGAATTTTGTACTATATATAGATATCTGTATGAAGAGAAAATAGAATTAAAATAGAATTTAAATGTATAAAAAAAGATACATAAAAGATCGAGATGGGTAAATACTTTTAATGTATATTATTTATATTACTTTAAAGCACTCTTTGTATACTGATCCAGTGTAATATAATGGCCTGATTCGCTATTAGCAATGTTAAGTAGAATATTATAGTATAAATAATAATTTGTACAGAAATACTGCTAACTTTTCATCAATTTATTCTTTTCCCTACGTCTCTTCGTAAAATGTAATTCCACCTTATTAGTAATACCATAAGCTTTAATATTTTCGTTATCATTAGAAAGTCTAATGTCTCCAAAGCAAAGATGATTTTTCTTCCAGACGTGCTTCCAACTTATCTTCTTCTGGACGTTCTCTCTCTTTAAGGACAAATTTGTGTGTCTCTTAATGGCCTTTTTCAAATCAAACACTGTTGTGTTATGTGGAGGTACCTGAAACAGAGGGAAGAGTGTGTTATTAAAGCGATAAATACAATGCAATTTGAACATAATTTGACAAGATACTATATAATTTGAATTTGCGTTGTGAAACATATAAGAATAATAAATTATTACCACCACTGCGAGCTTTGGCAATTCTCCGCGATTTAAGAATAAAGTTATGGCTTGTCCTTGCGCAACTGCGATCTGAGATTTAAGTTCTTCTATCGTGACATCCGAAGGTAATCCGGAGAGCAATGGTTCATGCTCAACAAGACTGTCTATAGTTGTCTTGGTTAATTTCACTAATTCCTGATGACTGAGTCGTGTGGTGTCAGATTTCGATTCTACTTTGCACGATTCTTCTTCATCTTTCATTGCACGTTTGAATTTTGTATCTTTGACACTGTCCATGTTGTCATTATTATTTGGAATATTAACCTATCTGAGCAGATTTGTAATTTGTAACATAAGAACTATATATGTATTCATAAAATTCTTGCATTATTGAGATTACACGCAAATTAATTCTCTAAAGGTCTTCTTCTTTTTTTATTTTTCTACGTGTTTTCATACAAATATTTTAAAATTGTTTCGGATTTTCAATTATAAGCGCAACTCCAATTGACCTCCATATTCGGAAAATTGTTGAGAGCCAATTGGAGATTTTACTTTCTAGGGAACACAAATTATTATTGGTTAACTTGTTAAAAACAATACTTTTTTAATTAAATTTGGAGCAAATTTTTATCCTTAGAGAATTTTAAGCCGAGTTCTCATTAATTATTAATGTGCTCCAAAACTATTAAAAAAGTGCCGTTTTACATTAACAATTTAATCAATAATAATAATAAAAATAATCTAATCAACAAAACGGACAAATGAAACAGCACCCGAAGATTGCTATGTTTTCATGAAGAAGGCAGGAAACCTAAATTTAAATGGCAGTTTTCCAAAATTCCCTAGAAACTTCCCAAAGACGAGGGACGAGGTAAGTGGATTTGGCGAAGGAAGATTTCCGTAAATAATTTGGATTTTAGATTAGAATGCAAAACATCTCGCATCGTCAATATCGTACGCGCAGATACGGTGTCGCTACGTCATTCCGTGATTTCACCCTGGTTTAATGATTTAAACAAATTTAAATTAATTCAAGCACTTTCGCGCTCAGAGCTAATTTTACTGTTGATTTCTGTCGCGTGAACTGCAGTTGGATTTCTTGGACGAGGAAACGAACAAACGAAACGTCAGTCAGATTCTCCACTGATCTCCGCAATGGATGAGAACGCGGATCGACTGAGTAAATACACGAAGCATTCGCTAAAAACTGTGCCCAAATCAAATGTGAGAGACAAATTTGGGAACGATAATGCATCAAGAGTGATTTCGACTAAACTTCGATTGATGAGTGATATCCGTAGTTTTTTAAGATATAGATTATAGATATAAAATTATTAATTTTCTTATTAATTGGACGATTATGAAAATTCGAAACGAATTATATTGTTAGAAATTTTGCTGTGACCATTTTTATGATTGAATTAATCAATTGAATTAATCGGAATTTGGTCACAGTCACTCAGAATCACATTGTTTACAAATATAATAATTATATATTTTGTAGGGATTTAATTAAATATTTCATTTGATTAAGTTCATTAAATTAGTCATATTTAATTGAATATTTTATTTGGTTAAAAGTTTACAAGATTATATTGTAAATATTGACAGGTTCTGGAATGTCGAGTTTGCGAGGAGGTTTTCACAGTGGACGGTGTAAAGGTGCCACGTTTGTTGCACTGTGGACACACAGTGTGCCACTCGTGCTTACTGCGGTTGAGGACTTGCATGTCGGAGCAGCAGTTTCTGCTATGTCCTTTTGATCGGCAACCTACCGCCATTCACGAGAACAGTATCTATAGTTTGAAGAAGAACTTTGCGCTTATCGAGCTGCTTGAACGACTGGAGCAGTCCAACAGCCAGAAAACGCTGGTGTTGGAGCGCGAGAGGCTTCAGTCAAATCTATCGTGCGACGAGGACGAGGCGCATACTGCAGTTCTTTATTGTACTGTCTGTGCCACACACCTGTGTGAGGCTTGCGACACCACCACACATTCGTCCAAGACCCTGGGCAAACACAGACGCGTGCCGCTGTCGGAGAAGCCACGTGAGAAGCCTCGCTGTCCAATACACACGGCAGACGTAGCTGAATTCACGTGTACTCAGGAAGGCTGTCACAATTCCTTGATGTGCTACCTATGTAAAGAATATGGCAAACATAGTACACACAAGGTAACGTCATTTATAATTATACAGAAGAATTATGCAGATTATCTCGGTATTCAGATTCATTATTAGAATGCCAACGTTTCGTGAACATTGCAGTTCACTTCATCAGGATGAGGAGCAGCTTCTCTATCTTGACATTCTAATAATGCATCTGAACACTGAGATAACAGCTCCTATATAGAAAAAATCCATGGAGAAGCTTAAAAGCATCTATAATTTTTCTCTTTATATGTCGATATGTTCCAATATCTTACCTGTTTTAAATTTTAATTATAGCCGGTATTGGTCGAGGAAGAAGCCGAAAACATCAGGAAGTCCATTATCGCAGCATTGCAGAAGATGACACAGTTTATGGAAAGCATGAGAGATACCGCACATAAAATAGGTATTTATCTCTATTTTTTTCTAAAATTTTACCTAATTAGCAATTTGGAAAAAGTCTCAATATTTTTAAACGTTTTTCTAATTTGTATTTCATCATTTTATTTATTCTCAATTTATGTTTTTATGTTTTCAGAAATAGTAATCGAAGAATTGGAAGGCTGGGCGATCGAAGACGCGAGGAGGAGGGTGCGATACCATTTCGAGGAATTACGTGCTATTTTGACCGAACAAGAGAAAACGGCGATGGCGTACATCGAGACGGAAACTCGCGGTAGACTTTGTGCACTGAGGCAACAACAGAAAGATCTCACGACCACAAGATCGCAAGTGGCCGGTGTATGCATCCAATGCGAAAGCATACTCGATTCCGAGGATTGGAAGTTGCTGAGCAGCTCAGAAAAAGTCAAGGAAGTGCTGGCGACATTGGAGCAACAGCAGCAACATTATGCGCAATTAGGACCGGATTTTCTCAGTCCTGAATCCTCCATTCCCATTATATTTAGCAGGGTTTGTAGACAATTTTCATTATGAATATAGAATGAATTGTATAACATCCTAATTGTTTTTTTAATTGTAGGATAATTTTTTTTATTTTAAATAACTAGCTTAGAGCGATATTATAAAGCAATTATAGTAAACTTATATCTTAATCTTCGTTTTTTCAAGCATTTCAAGTAGTTTCAATTTTTTTTATAATGGAAATAATCAGTAATATTAAATTATGATTTTTTTAATATTTATCTTTTTCTTAATATAGTTAATAAATATTTTTTTCTAATTCTTCATTTTTTTTTATAACAGGATAATAGAATACACATTGGAACAAAGATCGATATGCGCGTAGTAATCCTAGGACTGGATGGTGCGGGAAAGACGAGCATTTTATCTGCTATGCGAGGCGTCACGCTGCCAAATCCACCGATTCCCACTATCGGTTTCAACGTTGAAAGTTTGGAGTACATGAATCTCGTATTTACTCTCTGGGATGTTAGCGGTCATCAGAAGTTCCGACCACTGTGGAAGCATTACTATCATAACACGCAAGCTGTTATTTTCGTGGTTGACGCTAGCGATAGATCTCGTTTCGAAGAGGCACGAAAAGAATTATCAAAGATACTTTATGAACGAGAATTGAAGGATGCTCTACTTTTAATATATGCTAATAAACAGGTAAATGTAACGTTCCAATCTTTAAAATATTTATATAAAGTAAATGTAATTATATTGGGCAAAATAACAAAAATTTTTTTTAAATATTGAGCTCTAATGATATGAATAACTCTAATTAAATTCGTCCTACTACATTTTTATAAACAACGAATTTATTTACTTACATATCATTAAAAGCTTAATATTTAATTTTTGTCATTTTGTCTAATAATTGTCCACTAACTAATACATTTGCTTTACAAGATATTGCACAAGTTCCAAGCAAACTCATATTTTTACAGGACGTTCCTGGCTGTGCGAATGTGGAGGAATTAGTCGATATACTCGGCTTGCATAAACTTTGTTGTGCAAGAATATGGCACGTTCAGGGCTCATCATTAGTTACCAACGCCAGTGGTACGTTGCAGGGTCTTGACTGGCTTTCGACGCAATGTGTATAAATTTTTTTTTTATAAAATTATGTATGGAAAAAGCCGAAGACACATGTAACGCTAATTGTGATTTCCACGCTAAGATGGTACGAAGCAGACTGAAGTTAGATAGGTAGATAGATATCATGCAAGATAAATATTTGTACGTACAGTCGACGTTGAAAATGATTTGTTTTCTAGCTGTTCTCATAAAATAAACTCGAATGTCGCACGTATTCAGAAAATTATATTAAAAATTAATATCTCAGCCACATAACACATTTCGACGTCGATCATATTTTATAATTATCATTTTTTTGTTATTTATAATATGAATTTTTTTTTTATTTGCTCAATAAGTCAACATGATGGATGTCAACGTGTGAATGATGAATCAATCATATCGTCGCAGATCTTTTTTTATTAACTCGTCAATCCACAAGATAAATCTATTCTGTTAAGTCACGCTATACCAAAAAAAAAAAAAAAAAAAAAGTAATTCGTAAGTCACGACATAGTCACTTCGGAGAAAAATGGTGTCAGTTTATTTTCCGATATAAAAATGGAATTACAAGATTAATTATATTCGAACATGATACAATAAAATAGCGTGTATATGCATATATGTACATATACAATGGTAATTGGAAGCAATTTGCACAATCGATTCGTACACATTACTACAAATGATGAAAATGGATCAGCAGCAGGACTGGGTTTCGCGTTCGATCAAGATGAGCGCTTGAGATCTCACGAAAATAAACGCCTGAGCACATCTAGAAAAGTCTTATTTATTTTATTACATGGTTATTGGATTGCCTCTGATACATAATCATACCAATTGTAATCACTCAGTCACATTTGCACACATCTATCATTCTTACGTTTTGCTTTTTTTTTTTTAATAATTGGAGCGATTTTCTTTTCCTTTGAATTTGCGCGTACATTGTACGGAAATTGAAATAATGTATATATTATATATAATATAGCATCGTGTTATTTAAATTACATCTCAATTACCTTTTAATGTATATAAAAACACTTGACAAACAAAAACGGAACAACTTAGAGTCTTTTGTGGAGCTGCGCCAATGGTGGACACGGGCTAGACGACTCTCTCTTCTCGTTTCTTTCTTCTCTACACTTCTCCTTTTGTGTCTTCTATTTTCTAATATCTGTTCTTTCCGTATTCCAGCACACACTTTGCAGAAATATAGATCACTTGAGCTAAGCGTGTAATATTTCGAGACAGTAGACTCACTCGAATAGAAAGTTTTTTTGAGCGGCTAAGAATGTTTTAGGCGCTGTGATAGCAAGGCCAAAAACACTAGCAAAACCGGGCGAGATTTGGTTTAAAAGCTTAAAACATAATTCAATATGATGTTCTTGTGGACAATACGATAGGCGACGTAATCAACAAGGGTATTATCCTGCTCTCTTGCTATTGTGTGTTTTTTAGATTACAATTTTGTGCCTGTGGGAGAATTTAGAACGTGTCGCGACCACGTAGCTCCTGGAATACAGTCTGTGTTTGTGTCCACACGCGACACATTTATTTACAATTCGTCATGCGCCTGCAAAATAAACAAGAAACAAAGCAGTTAACATAGTTGATCATATAAAATCGACAGAATCTATTGGGATGTTTACACTCAGAAACGAGGAATTCCAATTTTTTCTCATCAATAAAAATCAGAGAAAATATGAACATCATGCGCAAGTTTAATCGTAAAATCTGAAAATAGAACGTAAATTCAGGTGCATAAAATCGTTATACTTACATCGTTATCTGAGTGAGTGTGCTCTTCCTCATCTGCGTCTTCATCGTCCTCATCGTCCTTGTTGTCTTCGTTTTCCTTAGCCTCTAAATCTCGCCGTTTCCTCTCCTCTTCATCCTGCGATTCCTTCATCTTCTTCTCACCTTCCTATGATTTACAGGATAAAATATTTTCTAACTCATTTTTTTTTATCGTTAAGAATTTAGAGATTTATGATGAGTTGATCATATTATATGTATCAATAATTGGACAAATAAATAAAAGGCAACAACAATAATGAATAAGTATTTACCAAAGTGGATTTCCAGACATCTTCTCCAAATTTGCGCGCGACCTCCGGATCATCGGTGATCAAAACGTTATCGAAAATGGTACCGGATTTAACTTGCCACAGATCAAAACCAATAGCGCAGATCTCGTCACGTTTGTACAATTCGGGGTCGGCCGTGTATTCGGGGTTATCAATCTCGGGATGGATCCATGGTCCCTTGTAGTTAGGATTCTCGATTTGTTTCGGTTTCCATTCACCCTGAAAAATTATATAATTTTAAGAATAATGACAGATGAGGAAAATACCTGATAAACCTCTGAATGCATATCAATTTCGGTATACGAACCTTATAATCGGGATTGTCGATCATGGGCGCTTCCCATTCGCCGTCCATTTCATCATCCCAATCTTCGGGTTTAGTTGCTTCAGGATCAGGAATGTGCTCAGGCTTGTCCCAATCTTCAGGCTTCTTATCATTAGGATCGTCGATGCTGGGTTTGTCATCCCAGTCAGCGGGCTTGGTTTGAGATGGATCCTTAATCTTTTTCGGAGGGAGGAAGCTCCAATCTGCCTCTAATTCGCCGGATTCAACTTCTTCGTTATCAATAAGTACCTGAAAAATAATTTTGTTGAAGAGTCATCAAATCAGATAAACTTTCATTTAGTGACATTATTGATGTGTTGATCTTTGCTGAATGCGTATAGTGAGCGGTATTCTCTCTATACACTTATCAAACAAGATAATCTTTGTTCTACGAGATCCTGTAGCACCTATCCTCCACGGCAATCAGTGAGAACATGTGACTCTAGGCTCGATAATATTTAAGGCCAAGACATAAAAAAATTTAAACAGTAAAACGTAAGCAGGAAGCGAAATGGTTAATCCTAGCAGAGACTGTAACGCTGTAACGTAAGCAGTAGTAAATTCAACATGTTCATTTCCTTACTGCTTACATTTTAAATTTTTCTGTATGCCATGTCTTACAACAGTTATAATTTTACATGAACGTAGCGCATATTTACCTGGTAAGTGTTATCAGGTTTGACAATCAGAGTGTACAAATGCGTGTAAATGTCATCTTTGCAACGGATATCTTTGTTGATTAAAAGATTCTTTCCTTTGTAGCTAAAGATAACATGAACCTTTTTGGTTCCGGGTCCACAGATATCCGGTCCTGTATAGAAATAAGAATATCATTGAGTTGAAATCGATAAATAAAAAAAATAAATACTACATATATTTAAATTTTATGTGCATAATCATTTCGCATGTAATAATTTTTAAATTGATGATATGAAGTCACTTTTACATAAAACAAGCAAGATAATTTGAACTTTATCTAAGCTAATTAGCTTCTTTAATGAATATATATCTTTTCTGGTGCCTATAATATGTATAGGTACTTATTACAGGGCATAATGAAAGAGTATTTCTCTCCGAGTTCCTGTAGCACTTATCATATACTGATATGATCAGTGACTCTTAGGCTCGGTATAACTGATTATTTGCTATCAATAATATATTCTGATAAGGAAACTTACCAAACATAATCTGATAAGGGCTTTCACCATGCATATCTTTCTGATCGAGAGAACAGTCAAATACTTTAACATATCCACCTCCACAGTCAATGTTCTGTTCATGCTTTACAGTAAATTGAATAACGAGGTTCTTATCTTTATTGCTAAATGGAGTGAATTTGCTACTGAGAGCATAAAACCTTGCGTCTTGCGACGTCTGGATACCTGAGAAAAATTTGACAAAATAGTCTCGTTACATAAGTGAATTTTGTATTTTGTAACAAGTTTTCTATATTCCTTTTAAATTACCTTTATCATTTTCTTGATCGTTCCAGAACTTTCCATAGCTTGAAACAAACTTTCCGAATTCCTTACCAGGATGCTCGGAATAAACCCAATTCTTTTCCCAGGAATCTGAAATATTGACAATCTCTTTGTGAACTTATATAACAATTTTTAATGTACATTTTCATAACTATAAACACTCAATTTATTTAATAAAATATATATTTTATAGTACATTTCATTAAAACTTATTTATTTTAATTTACTTTGTTTTATTTATTTTAATAAATTTACTTAATGAATCACATGTTGAATCTTAGATTTGAAAACCATTAATGAGGGAAATAAAAACCCATTTAAAAAAAATTTCTTGATAAAATTGTAATATATTTACAAGCTATAATATTTTTCGACTTCCACCTAAAAACAAAAAATTATATATTTCCTAGAATCTCAATTTATCAGAGAAGCAATAAATATAAAACAGCAACGTATAAATTACAGACAACTTCTATCGGATTCCCGTGCAGGAGAAACAAGGAGAGGAGGAGGGGGAGAACCGGTTAAAAATTAAGAAGGCAACGGCCGCCGAGAGGCGAAAAGATAATACTTCCTCGCCGGCGTACTTAATTTCAACGATAATTCAATATGCAAGAGACAAGGAGGAACGAAGTCTAATTGTCGCGCTTCCATTGTCATCGGCAACATAAGAGATCCGTTTCTCTTGCAATTCTTTTCTTTCATCAAGGCCTGACTACCTCCGGCTCCACGTCAGCTCGATACACAAAAAAAGAAATCGAGCTACAAAAAAAGAAGAGTTCGAAGGTCCGTCATCTTTTTATACTTTAAAATGATACGAGCTTGAAGGACGAAGTGCGATGGGAGGGACGATGCTGCTCGCTCAAAATCCTGTATTTAACGGGATAACGTCCGCGTCGACGACAAGATCCGTTCGTCGAATACGTTCTGTACTCGAAGCGAGACGGCCACAGGCGCGGTGGATTCGCGCGAGAGAGACAGAGAAGAAAACGGAATGGAGGCGCACAGGAAAGAAGAGCGCCGAGAGATATACGTGATGACGCAAACGGACCTGTGGAGCCCGTTTGCCCCGGCCACGTCGGAGTTCTCGCCTCGGATCGGAGCGACGGAGGCTCCGGTCGTCGGCGCCGTTCACCGCCGGAGTCGAGCTTTACGTTACAGGATCGATCTGTGCGGCGTCATATCGGCGGTGCGGTGGCGGCGGCGGCAAGCAAGATGCCGCGCAGCGGCGCCTGCCATGAGAAGCGACTTCCGACGTTTCGTCTGCGTGTCGCTCACTCGATTTTTCGCGATGCCCCTCTCTCGTCCTTTTCCTCTTTCTTTCTTCATTTCTCTTTCTCTCCCTCTCTCTCACTCTACAGAAAGGCACATATGGCCGATACGGCTTGAAATGCGGAAACACGATGTGTCACGATACGGTTCTTAACAATTTCCCGTCGTGTTAACTGACGATCTCCCGCGGAAGATACGCGACCGTCGGCCGGCGAGATGGAACGGACCATCGGAGCGCAGCAGGGCGTGCGGTTACCAAGAAAAGACCGCCGTGCCGTTCACGTCATTTCACCGCGCACGAAGACGACGTTACCGTCGTCGTTTCTTCGTCGGTGTTATCCTCTCGATGGATACGACACGCGTGGCGGCGAATAATCGAGGGTGTGGTTCGTCGCGAGATCCGCGAGACGGTCTTCGTGGCAAAGGGAGAGAAGCCACCACCACCACCACCCAAACGATTGTTCATCGCCGGGCCGGGTCTTTGTGATCGACAAAATTAATTAGCTTTTTACTCACCATCGTTGAACTTCTC